ACGTCATTGCCGTCCGCTTCTTCTTTCCGCCGTCCCCAAACCAGTCAGGGTCGAAGGAGAGGCAGCAAGAGGCAACAGGTAAGACTACGCTCGCCCGTCGGCTGCTCAACAACGCTTCCTACAATTTCGAACCCCAAGCATCCCACAGAAAAGCGAAGCCCGTTGCAGCAGCAAGTGGCAGAGATGCTCACGGGAGTGAAGACACGCGGCAATGACGGAGGTGACGGCTAGCTAGCACAGCACATCATGCATGGGGGGCAACGCGCCCTCGACGCCAGTGCCGCTCCGCCAGTGCCGGTGCCGTCACACGGCCAGAGGTGACCAGTGTCCGACTACTCGGTGGGTCGATCCTCGCAGCACCTTCCTCACCACCTATCGCCATTTGCAAATGGCTACGCGTTTACTTTGCGTACTTAGACCTTGACGGTCTTGGACTTCCGGCTCTTGATCATCTCCCGCATATGGGCACGGACCTGTGAGTGAGAAAAACACATGCAAGGGGGACACAGGCGACGTACATACAGAGCCGACATACATTACATACATACGAATTGGTGTGCAAATGCACAAAAAATGAAATTGCATGGCCTGCATACATACACTCAGTTACTTGATATGACACACGATGCTACAACAGTGGAATGCTCTCGCTGTACGGACACAGTATGGCAGCCTTCCATCGGCAAACTCTGCAACAGTCACCACCTTACCTTAGGGGTCTGGGGCTTCTCCTTGAGCTCGTCGGTGAAGCCAGTATCGACCTGTACGACAACAGGAGCAGGAATGGACGGAACTCGGGTGAATGGTCTCAGGATATGTAGGGGGTGCGTGAGTAAGACCCTCCCCTCCCCTTCCCAGCCCCTCCAGGCAAAACCACCCACCTACCTGCTAACGTCCGCGGTTCGCAGCTAGGAAGGCAACCAGGCAGTGCTGCTGCGGCGGCAACCGTGGTGGCGGGCGCCAGCTCCAACAGCTTGGCGGCAGTGTCCTGCCCTGAAGCAGCGGCCGCCCGCGCCTTGGCCAGAACCTGAACGAGACGGAGCCGCACGTGTGCGTGGGAAAGCCACAGACGCGCAGCGACCCGTGGGTCGCGCATCCTAGTCCGTGTGGCTCCCTCCGTCACTGCAACAGTACCCTGCCACGTGTGTATACATGGCCCTGTAGCACACCTCATTTTACACCTACCTCCCACCACCACCAGCCCCGCACACAATACCCTTGCAAAATATAAAACACTTTACACCACATCAACGATCAAACCAACAGACATCCCATAGACCGCCCCATCACCCCCACACGCCACACCTGGAGCAGCATGGCAGTGGCGATGGGGTTGGGCTGAGATCGCAGCTCCGTAGTCCGCAAACGCCGACACCAGGGGCACCAGCGGCGGCTGCCAGTATCCCAGCGCCACGAGGCTCCAGATGAAGCTGGACAGCTCCCGGGATCCGAAACCCTAATCGTACATCACATCCGGAAGGGGTGCGGGTGGGTGGAAGAGTGCGAGCGCGCGCGTGTGTATGTGTTGCGGGGAGGGAGGGGTAATATGACTGGTTGGAATTGTACGTTTCGAAAGGTCCACGAAGAAACGACTCTCTGTCTACAGCCTCAGCAGCAGCTGCCAGCTGGCGGGCCTCCAACCCCCCCCCTCATTTCGGTCCCCAGCCGCCAGGCCCCTCCCGCACACCTCTGGCAGACGGCCATTAGCTGCCCTGACCAGCCTCTCCACCAGCTGAGCGAGCTGGAGCTGGTGGGGCCGGAGGGGCTTCTGGAGGTTAGGGCAGGGCAGGGGAGGGGGAGGGATTGCACGATGCCGCGCAAGTCAAGTCAAGAAAACAGCTGCCGAGACATGCGAGGGAGCGCCGACTGGCTCCGGAGCTCGCCAAGACCAAGAGAGTTCACCCAACGACGAAAAGGGCGACCATATGGCCCCCCGAATTTACATACACTGTGTATGATACACACCACAAACACACCACACCGCAGCCAGGGATGCGCCCCGCAAAAGGCCCGCCACCCTTTGCTCCACTCAAGCCATAAATCCCCATTCCATCCTCCCTCCCGCGCGCCGCAACACAGTTCCCGCGGGCCCCCCCCAGGAAGTGTTCCCTGTACCCCTTCCGGAGAACTTGAGACTAAAACTTCCCCGGCCCCATCCCCCTCTTTGCCTCTGAGCCCAGCAGTCGGTCCTTGCTTTGAACTTGGGCAGTTGTGCAGTTCCCTCAACTCCTTACACCTTTCTTGAATTGAAAAATTCCCTCAGGCGGCCGAATCCCCCTTTTTTTGCCACCGGCTGGGCGTTGCACCCCTCTCCCCTCCTCTTACTTCCACGACCACAGCGTAGTTGTAGGTGCCTCCCGTCACCACCCTCCGCCGCACAGGCGCAGCAGCCGTCACGTTCCTCGGCGGCGCCGCCGGAAACTGTATGGCTGCACGACCGATCCCACGGGACCTCGGGAATGTTTCCTTTCGCCCCTTGCCGCCAGCGTCAGCCAGTAAGCGCGTCTCCAGCTCCCGTCCGCTTCCAGAAGCATCTCCTGTGCTACCGCTACGCCTGTCCTCAGAGCCCCTATCGGACCCACCACGGTCAGGAGGAGATTGGAACAGAACTTGTGGCGATGATGGTGACGGCAGTAGCCGCAGTCGCTGCATAATGCGAATGGCAGCGGCGGCCCGCGGCTGCTCGCAACGCCACAGCGTCACGGCCCGTCGTGCTGCCGCCGCCAACTCCTTAGGGCTCCACGTCGCCACCTCCGCCGCCGCGAGCTCGCCGAGCTCCTGCATGGTGGATGTGGGGGCGGTGTAATGCGCGGCGTACGGTATAGTGTACGGCGAGTGTACAGTGTACGGTGGTCGTGTTTCGTACACACGAAGGTTGTGTCGTTCAGCATTTCCCCAACAATCGCTGCCCCCCCGGCGCCCCCCAGCAGTAGCCACCGCCTCTCAGTTCTCCTCGGGGACACGTGTCGACCTGACGCCCTCAGACACGGACGCATTTTGCGCTGACAAAGTCCTCAGATGATGCTCCACATTTGCGCTGGGATGGGATCCTGTGGTTTTACTCTATGGACCCCTGGTGACTGCCTGCAACATTCAGAGGACATCGCGGGCCGTCTGGAGGTAGATCGCACCCGCAAAGTTGCGGTGTTCATGATCTTGCGGGAAGGCTTGAACCGTGGCCATCGCCGGCGCCACCGGGGTTGCTGCTCTCCGCCGAAGCCACCGCCGCCATTGCTCCTGTCGGCCCCGGCGTATCGGCTCGCCCGCGTGTGTTTCAGCATCATCCGCTGTGGCCGCGGCAGTGAAGGCAGGATGGCCTGGATAGGGACATCGGTTGAGACCGCAGCAAGTCACCACATTATATGGGCATGTGTTTTGCGGCAAACAAGGTCATCTCAAAATCGTCGTGGTGCGGGCCGTGTGCGGCCGCGTCGGCAACGAAGGCGGGAGGTTTACCTACCCATCGAGACAAAGGGAAAGGTCTCAAGGCGCCGGTATGACCAGGGATATGATGGCTCGCTAAAAAGCAGAAAGGGAATGAAGCTGTAGAGGGCTGCGTGAGGTCGCTGCTGAAGGCCCTATCTAGACAACCGACAGGTGACGTCACGGATGTGAAGCTGCAAAGCCGATACTCAACATCTACTAAGGATGCTACGCAGCGTCCTTCAATTGGGCCCCCAACAGTCTGTTCAGATACGTTCTGGAGCTCCCGAGCAGTGCAAGATAATGCTCGAGTTGCTGATAAACAGACGGCTTCGAAAGCCTTCCTTTTGAGCATGGCAAGTTTGTTAGGGCTCAACACCAGTGGATTGTCGCATGTTTGCCAAGACCACAACGGAACATAACGAACCAATTATGATGCATAACGTCGCATGTGCTACAGACTTAGTTGAAAGACACTTGCATGTGAGCAAAATACTTGTCCTAAAATAGGTAATCATACCGGTGTAGTGAAACGCAGACAAAATGATAGGCGCCCATGTACGGCGTGCTGTGCTGTGCTTTTCATTATCATCATGACCAATTAATAACACGTAGATCCTGACATTTTCACCCACGCGCGTGCTACTAGAAAGCAATATTCAATAGCCTCGATATCGTGCTCCGCGTTGCGCCTATCCTGGAGCTCCGGCAAGGTCGGGAATGGTATCCAGGACGGCAGCTGAGGACGCCGTTCGAAGAGTGGTCAGCGGCCCAGAACGAGGAGACCTGCTGTTCTTCATCGGGGAGCAAACTGATGACCAACTGAGCCAGTGGAGGATCCTGGACACAGACGGCGATTCAGCAATTGTCGCCTTCGTGAGGCGGAAGGCCCAAGGTGCGTTGCTGGGATGAAGAGTCCTTAGTTTGGTACACATAGGGACATATTGAGCTACCGTGAAGAGCGCGGCAGAGTAGGCTGGCCATCACCGGGATCTACCTCTGCCGCTGTGGGCACTGCTGCGCGGGTTCCAATGGCAACTGATTGCCCGTCTGACCGATGAATATTCTCAAAGCATGCTGGGTTTCTTTGTTCTTGACCTTGAAGCTGAAATCCGTTGTGCTACCCTCCCCCTGCAGGCTCGCTGCCGGCTGCTGCTGGTGAGCATTACCACGAGGCTGTATGGTGGGCTTTGGCACACTGTTTGTTGGTAACCAGCAGTAGAGTGGGGCATCACGCATCGGGGGGGGTTGTTAGTTGGTCGGAGCTGAGGGGCAGGGTTTGACACCCCCGACGAAAAATCGTAGAACTGACAATGTGATAAAGAGGCCCAGAAGCCTCCCACTCTGTAACATTACAATATATAAAGTATTTGATGATATCACCATGAGACGGCCCGCTGTTGCATTCAACTTAGGTCAACGGGCCATTCGTTCATTCTTGACCAAAGCAAACGGCTCAGAAACTCCGCAGACGCTATGCCCCAAACATTTAGAAGAAGAATTAGATAATACAGAAGACAAGGATAGGCACTTCGTAGTTGCCGCTCTTGAAGTCAGTGAATCCAGCGATTTGAGCGAAGTCGGCGGCTGGTGCAATGCAATGGTGTTGATGGTGCCGACAGTGTACATATATATAACTTTGCCTTCGCGTGCTCACGACGTTTATTGTATTGTGGCTACAGTATTTCCGCCGCCGATGCGGCGGGTGCCCTCACGAGCCGTGAGGCTCCAGAGCACGCTGCTGTCACTGATCCGTGGGTCGTGGACCTCCTGGCAAGTCAGCTGCGTGTTAAATTACCACACGTGTGGTCACATCCATCCATCCATCCATACTTTTACATACATACATGGAGGCAGGTGGCTGACAGAGATGAAGGCCTGGCTTCTGTCCCCAGGTGACCCTGGTTCAAATCCACCTGCCGACCTCTCGGGTGTTTGAGAGGTGGACGGTGTAGGACGTGATGATATCAACTTGCGAGCTGACCTGGAACTGAGTTGATGCGCCGTTGATCCGCTAGATTTGGTTGGATGCTGGTGGTGAGTTGCTGAACCCAACGAATACTGTTGAAGTCGGATGGGGTGATGGATTAGGGTGCCCCTCTAGCAGGGGAGAGCATGGAACTGTCTCGGGAAAGGGGGCCGCTGGTGAAGCTATACCACCCAGTGTTTTTTTTGGTAATATATTACTTTTTTGGGAATAAATGGGGGTCTGAGCCTGGAAGAAATGGAATAATTGGTCAGTTGGCTGTACTGGTTCATTACTTCGGCCCCAAATGCCTTCTGCACATATAAAGCTGAACATTTGGATCTTATACACTATTTATATATAAAATTTCCCGAATCGATTCCCGGGGAGACACCCTCGACTTATCACCCCTGTCGTCTCGACGTAAATGACCTGCGAGCGCAACTTAATCTCCGGCAACTCAACACCCTGAAAGAGGCAATTTCGGTTGCCTCGAAACAGGCATGCAAAAAACGAAACAAAATCGAAACAGGCATGCCCAATCGAAACAGGCATGCATCGGCAAACTTAGCTGCTTGTGGAAGCTCAGCGCATTCGTAGACTGGGTTGGGAGTTTCTCGGGTAACGACCGTGTCTATGATGTGCGTGCGCGCTGCATCAATGTTATGTTTGACGACTTAATGCTGCTCATGTTGTACAGCGTGGGTGTTCCAGTGACCCACCCTGCTCACCCTGCCGTGGGCCTGCCGCCTGCAGGCGCTGATGCTGGCACCAGCAACGCTGCTGCAGGTGAGCCTACTGTGCCTGACGTGGGAAGGGGGGGAACAGGTTTTGTGGGCTTGGTGTGCCGTTTCATTTAGGGGTGGAAACTTACGGTGTAATAGACTTTTTGGACCGTAAGTTACGCAAAGCGTAAAGCGTAAAGCGTCAGATACCGTATATTACGGTTTGGAGCGTCCTGAGACCAACCGTAATGCTTTACGGTCCCGTACCAGTGGCCATTTTCGTGAACCCAAAACATTTTAGTAATTATAGTAACAATAAATAACATTTTCTTTTAGCTGCTACCTCTGTTCACGTGGGTCATGTGTAACAATGGCCGATGAGACACCCAAACAGCAGCCCGTGCTCATGAAAAAGCTGAACAACACTCTTAAAAGTAGCACTACTTTGCTGGCTGGAGTGGCGAGGACCCCCAGCGTTGCCGGACACGGACAGCGATGACGACATCGCGATTGGCACGCTCGCACGGAAATAAATGCACGACCACTTCAGAATGAGCAGAGTGCTGATTTCTAGTATCATGGTTTACATAGTTACCTTGGTGCTGGTATAGATCTACTTAGTTGTGGCTATGTTGAGGTGCGTTTTCGAACTTCGAAGCAAGGTTTTCGCGGCAAATCGGACAGTTTCATCTTCCATTAATTGCTCTAGAATGGATGTTAGATGATTATATGTTGCTTTGGAGGAGCGGTGGGCTTGGAGGCGCGGTGGCGTGTGGACATCTGACTTCCGGTGAGGACTGGGTCTGGCCCTGACGCGTCTTCGGTCGACCAATTTTACGGTGTAGCGTAACTTTTGAAAAATGGACACCGTAATTGACGTTACGCCGTCACACCGAAAAATTACGGTCGTTTTTGAGCCCGACCGTAATTTACCGTAACCGAAAAGCGTAAGGCGTAAAACCCTAAAGCGTAAGTTGCCACCCCTATTTCGGGTACATTAGGTTAAGTTGCTTGCTCCGCAAACGGTGCTGGTACTTTCATCGCTGGTACTTTTAATAGCTGGCCTCTACAGCTACATGTTGTCCATGGCTGCATTCGCGTTATGGGCCGCGCGGTGGGCGCTTTGGAAACGGAGGAGGTTGCACAATCGGGTGTGGTTGCCTCATAAGTAGTACATCCAAACATTCGGCTATAGCTGGTCAGAACCTCCGCTTTGTGTCCTGCAGGTCGCGCGGGAGCATCCTTTGAGGAGTTTTGGAAGAAGCTACCCAAGGCGGTGGTTGCCCAGTCTAGTCAAAATTTCGAGGTCCTGCAGCTTGCAGACGGTACTGCATTCCCAGATCCTGGCCATTCCACGACTTTGCTTGTTCACCCATGCTACCACACCCTGTGTAAGAAGATCTTTGCATCTGTGGGCAAGTCTGATCCCCCCTCCCGCCAAGTCCTCATTCGCGGCACACCAGGCAAGCTGATGGGTTTGAGTGCGGGAGCTAAACTGTTCTGGGAAATGGGCGATGGTGAAGCTGGGAATATGCATTGGCTTTGGAATTGCCAAGCTCCTGCCTGGGGTATTTAATGCAACACTGAGGCTCAAGAAGAGTAACATTCGTTGTTCGATGCAGGTATTGGCAAGAGCACTTTCCTGGACTACTTGCTTTATCGGCTGGCATGCCAGGGCAAAACCGTCGTGTGGTGTAGCAAGTCTGTGCTGGACTCTGTGCTGCTGTTTACACCCAACGGTGTGTTTGAGGCAACCTCCACTGCAGCTTTTCGAGAAGAGCTAAGGGATCCGAGTACATGGTACGTTGTGCAAAGTATTGCATGCCAATCTATTTTCTGTCAATCATGGCAATCATGGTGTGACCTACTCATTTTGGTGTTTGCTGACCAGGTTCTTGTGTGATGCGGTGGAACCTCCGTCCAAGGTGGCAATCACAGTCATGGCATCATCTCCTCGCAACTCAAACTACAACGTGAGTACATTTACATAGTGTAGGGTTTGCGGTAGCTTGGCACGTGATGAGTTGTTGCAAGGTCCACTGTACCAGACATCAACTTTTGTCCAATATTGCCATAACCTGCACATCTGGAGGTGTGGTAAGAAAGTTTGGGGAGGTAGAGGATGAGGCATGCATGTTGCTTCCATGCATGTCCACCAGCAAATCGAGCTGGGCATGTACAGCAACCATGTACTTGTGGATTCGTTATGTTTAGTAGTATATAAACATTTAGCATGGATGATATTTAAATGTGGTTTGTGGTGTCAAGTCGTGTATTCCTCATGTGGTTCGGTCTGCCCTGGGGCTGCTGAGCCAACCCCCTTACATCCCGGCTTGTTGAACATTTGGAATGATTTTTCTTTCCTAGCACTTTTTAGCCCCATGACATCTTGGACTTGCAGCATCATATCAGGGGTCCATTGGCTATGGTAGCATGAGCACTGTGTCATATTTTTAGCATGTTCTTATTGCCCTATGGCATAAAACGGGGGGTAATCCCCCCTTAAGTGTAACCCAGGGCGTAGGGCTAGGGGTTTACCCATGTGGCTATGTACGAAGGGAGGTGGGTAACCTAACCCCGGGGTAGGGGTAACCCCTTACCGAGGGGTAACAAAGGGGTCGGGGTAATACACTACTGATGGGTAACAGACAGGGTAACCCATCTTTACATTCACCTGCGCCTGTCTACACACGCAAGCGTACATGTCTTCACCAATCACTTGTGAATGCCCAATTATCAAGGTTGCCGCACCAAAACATGCCTTGTTTAGAAACCTAAACCTAAGGATATGGCACACAGCTGCAGCCTAGATGCAAGGAGGCGGACGAACAGGCGTACATAGGCGGAGCAAATTGGGGACCACGAGAAGCCGCCAGCAAAGTTAAAAATATCCCTATCAAAAAATCCAGGCACTTATCGCTGCTCCAGACCCAAGACCTAAAACTTGCAGAGCAGCCAACGGGCTGCAATGTAAGGTCGGGCAGTAGCTTAAGTGCTCCTTCTCGACCTGCTAATTCCAGCTCTACACACGACCTATGCAACACTATCCAGAGTCTGCTCGTTTTCAGAGCAGATTCTCCTAAGAGTGTCGAGGGTCTTGGGTGGGAGATCCGGATGTTTGACCCCGAACACGGTGACACCCGGCGAAGTGTAAGGCGCCCTTCCGGGTAAAAATCCTCGGATGTCACTGGATGTCTTGTTAAATGAGGTGCACCACAAGTGTGGGCCTGTGCTGCAGAAAGAGTCAACGGTCTTGTCGTGGTGGTCCGCACGCGCGAACGATAGAACACCACCATTTTTGCCGCCATACGCACCAGTATTGCAACGTGGATTATAAGTGTGCAAAGTATGTATGGTCAATAGGAACACTGCTGGCAGTGAATACGATTGTCTGAATTGGTGATAGTGGTCATCGCGTTTTTTAGCATGTCCGTCTAGTTAAAATACCAGCCATGAGTGTGCATTACATGAGCTTACAAGCAAATTAGCTGTGATTAAGCTTGGATGTGCTCGTTAGGAGTATCAGTGGAGGCAAAAGCAGCATGCACATATGTGTACGACCATCCCCGGCCCGGTAATATGTTGGCCGACCTCAGGACTGATTGCCTAATGTTTTCACAATGCAAACTATTATATAACAATCGATGACAACCAAAGGCATCCATTTAGTGAAGACCTGTCGTCGACTTGTGTATATGCTGCCAGCATTCACGCCTTCTCCTGTACTCATCTACAAGCTCCTGTTTTACAGCAGCCAAATGCATACAAGACGAGTAGCCTATAGGCCCATACATATGTCCACAATCCAGGGCAACGGAGGGGTTTACCCTGGGGTCATGTTACCCCTCCTGCTGGGTAGGAACTTACAAGGGGGTTACCAAAGGGCTATCGGGGGTTGAAAATGGGTAACCCATGGGTTACTGCCCCAATCAGTGCCTTAGGGTTGCCTGCATGCTAATGATGTGTCCTGTAGGAATATGCCAAGCAAGCTGGCCTGAGGTTATGGATGGGCCCCTGGTCCTATGTGGAGCTGGAGGCAGCACGTGGCATCATGTTCTCTTCGGTCAGCAAATCTAAACTGTCAGAGCTGTATGCTCGGTGGGGCGGCATCCCACGTTACGTTGAAGTACGCAGCCAACCCCGAACTGCAGGAGGAGCTTGATGCAGCGGTGGCAACCGTTAATATGGATCTCTTGTGGAAATCCGTAGGCAACATTGAAGCTGCACCGGATGTCAGCCACAAACTGATCCACGTCGAGGTAGGTGTGAGGTCTTCTCTATTTGACCATTAGCAGATGTGGCTCCAGGCAGAGAGTACTCCCAACTGGGAGATGCCAGGGGAGCTGATCCCTCTTACATTCCTCCCCCCCTTGAGGAAACGTCCTCGGGCACCCCTGGGCATATCCCGTAGGATTTAGGTTGTTTGAGATCCCGTAGGGTTGTGTATTAGTTTGTTATTGTGACATTTCGTCAGTCCCCGTCCGAGATTGAGGACTTTGTTTTTACTCAGCTAGTAGACTTCCTGCCCACCTGGGTATCCACCTTTGGGGTGAGAGTATGCTGCATCATGCCTGGTGTGCGATCTGCTCGCAACCAAATTCGATCCGGGGAGTTCCCACCTCCTAGCAATTCGCACCAATGTAACACCAGGCAAAGAGTACTCAGTTGGGAGATGCCAGGGGAGCTGATCCCTCTTACAGCAGATGCCCCATGTGTTGTGACTGGTGACTTTGCACTGGGCAGGCAATATTGGGTGGATGTGCATATCTAAAGGCCCACAGGGGAAAATCCGGTGGAAGAATCACTGGAAATCAGTGCCATTTTTAAAAGCAGGGATGCGCACAGAGTGTGGCAATGGCATGGGTTCTGCACACCATCTGACAAGCCTTTCTCATGTTGCAATGACATGCAGGTGGATGAGAACTGCAGCAGGAAACGCCTAGTCTTCGGCTCCGGGATAATCGGCCAGCGTGTGATGCAGGAGTTGCATCGGCAGGGTACTGCTGAGTTGGCCAAATTCGTTAAGTGGTCCGCTGGCAGACCAGATTTGGCCTCACTTAGAGGCATAATGTTCCAGGGGCTAGCACATGACTTGCTGTGCCGAGGCGGCTCGTTTCGTATGTGCAGCCTTTCTAACCCCGGAGAGCAGGAGGTCAGCCTGGAGGTGCCGGAAATGGAGTTGATGGAGGTGCAGGACAGCGACCTCAAAAAAATCAGCCCCACAACAAAAGGGTCTGGGCTCCTGGTGCCGGTGACGAGGAACTTCGCCGGCGTGGACAGCTT